TTTGGACTCCCAAAGTGCTGGAATTACAGGCGTGAGCCACCATGCCTGGCCTACCTCTTACTCTTTATTCAATAGATATTTAACAAAGAAAGTGAGTATGATTAAACATTTTCAATTATCTTTCCTATTTTTTATGATCAATATTGTACTAAAGACGCTTGCACACTGCCACCACATTGCCAGGGTGTCAAGCAAATGAGAAGTGCAGTGGAAGCAATAATGCTGTTTCTCTTTTTAATCATATCGTATTTGTGTACAAATCTCTGAGAGGTACAATTAAGAGCCCACCAAAAAGGGCAGGAGAGAGAATCTGAGCTAGTGGCAACACTGTACTAATGTGCCTTTCAAGGCCCTTGCTGTGTTTTTTGTTGTTGTTTGTTTGTTTTTGAACAGGATCTTACTCTGTCACCCAGGAAGGAGTGCAGTGGCATGACCATGGCTCATTGCAGCCTCGACTTTCTGAGCTAAAGTGATCTTCCATCCTCAGCTTCCTGAGTAGCTGGGACCACAAGCATGTATTGCTGTGCCCAGCTAATTTTTAAAACTTATGTTTATGTAGAAACAGGCTCTCAGTATATTGCTGAGGCTGGTTTCAAACTTCTGGCCTCAAGTGATCCTCTCCCTTGGACTTCCAAAGTGCTGGGATTACAGGAGTGAGCCATCATCCCCAACCCTCTTGCTATGGTTTTAATGTTTATGCCCTTCCAAAATTCATGTTGAAATTTAATGCCCAATGCAATAATATTAAGAGATAAGGTCTTTGCAAAGTGATATATTAGTGCACTTATAAAAGGCCATGAGAGAGTAAGTTCTTCCCTTTTTACCCCTTCTGGCATGTGAGGATGCGGAAACAAGGTGCCTTCTCTGAAGCAGACAGCCTTTACCAGACATGGAATCTGTACAGCCTTCATCTTAGACTGCCCAGCCTCCAGTACTGTAAGAAAAACATTTCTATTGTTTATAAATTACCTAATTTTTGTTATAGCAGCACAAAGAGACTGACAGCTCTCATTCTGAAATTCCAGTTCAGGCTGCAGAATTTACCTTAAGTGAGTTCATGACAGCCAAATAGATGTATGCCAACATATCTACTTAGAAAGAGACCAAGTTAGTTAAATTAACTCAGAGAACTTTCATTGCTGAACAGAACTAGACGTGGAGCAAACATTGGTTGTGATTTTCCTCTGAGCAGAGTGTGAAGTTCTATACTTGGTCGTGATTGAGTAATTAAACATCTTCTGTCTTTTTATGAGAAATTATTTTGGCCTAGTTTCTTAAGCTTATGGTCTTTACAGTCTCATTCACTGGTTTCTTATTTCAGGTATAGTCAGACCTGACGTTAATACCAAACTCACTTAATTGGTAAGTCAGTCAAAAATCACGTTTCTGGCAATCAGCAAAATGAAGTGTAAGGAGGCAGCAGGATGACAGGCTTAGCAGATGACAAGTACCTGCTAGATCTGGAAGAACAAGGACAGGCTCCAGAAAAAATAAGGAAATGAATCCATCAGACATGATATGGCTTTAATGTAAAAAACAAACTTCTGGGCCAGACTCAGTGGCTCACACCCGTAATCCCAGCACTTTGTGAGACTAAGGCATACAGGTACTTGAGCCCAAGGGGTTCAAGACTAGCTAGGGCAACATGGCAAAACCCCATTTATATTAAAAAAAAACAAAATACAAAAATTAACTGAGCGTGTTGGTGTGAGCCTGTAGTTCCAGCTACTCACAAGGCCAGAGTGGGAGGACTATCTGAGCCTCGGAGGTCAAGGCTGCAGTGAGCTGTGATCATTCCACTGCCCTCCAGCCTGGGTGACAGAGTGAGACCCTGTCTCAAAATACAAACATACAAGGAACAAATTTATGATAGGAATATGCCATATCTAATGCAACTTTGAGAAAAGAATGAAGGAGTAGGATATAGAAAACTCTACAAATGAAAGATAAGGGCAAAAGCTTTACAAGAAAGGAAATGCAGTGATAACATACTACAATGAACAATAGTCACTATGATGTAAACATTGATTTTAACTAAAAATGATTATTCTGTTGTACCAAGAAGATAGACAGGAGGGAATTAGCAATGAGCACCAAGCAACTAAGATAATATTAAGATACATTTGCATAAGAGAAAATCATTAGATAGTACCTACAAATAACAACAGATAGCAAGATTAGAATGTTTTTGCAATAGCGAAGTTAATACTAAAGTTAAAAGCATTTTAAATCATTGGAATTAGAGAGGGCAAGGTGCCATTTGATTGCTTTTTAAAATCTAGGTACATGTTACTTAACTATGTTTTAAAATAAAAGAATATTTGTATAACTTTCTCAGTTTCATTTTCTCATCTCTTAAACTCCATGAATAAATTATCTTTATTTATTTTTAAATTGATATGAAATTATGGATTTACCATGTACAGCTTGTTTTAAAGAAAATATATATTGTGGAATGACTAGCTAATTAACATCTGCATTACCTCACATAGCTATCATTTTGGTGATGAGAACACTTCATATCCACTCTTTCATTTTTCAAGAATATAATAAATTCTTAACTACACTATCACCATGTTGTAAAATAGACATTTTCAGCTTATTCCTCTGACCAATATCTCCTCAACCCCCAATGCCCGACCATGTCAGCCCTTAGTAACCATCATTCTACTGTCTACTACAGGATCAGCTTTTTAGAATTCCACATATGAGTGAGATCATGCAGTGTTTGTCTTTCTGTGACTGGCTTATTTCACTTGACATAATGTCCTCTAGGTTTAGCTATGTTGTTGTATATTAAATCTCAAAAAAAATCATGGTAATACATTGATGCTGGATGAGAAGGACAGATATTAATTTAATATGACTTTTGTAGAGAGTTCACCTAGGAGAAGTGCACAGAAAAGCAACAGAATAAACACTGAGAATGCCCAGTGCCATGGCCTTAACGATTAGGGTGTGACTCTCCATTGCTGGGCAGAAAGGCAGTTGAGCAGGCAGCAGGAGAAAGGAGAGACAGAACAGAGGCTGGTTTCATTGAAGTTTGAGTTGGTAATTGAATCACTTTTCCATTTTCAAAATAGATTTAACTACAAATGGCTTTTAATTACAAATTACAAATGCATTTCCCTTTTTAGCACCACTTTCACCATGAGTGTTTTATTTATAAGGTTTTATATGCTTTCTTTTCTCTATTTTTTCTGGATTTCTCAAAATATCGTATAATACCTGTGAAAAGGGAGCAGTATGCAATCTGTAAAAAACACAGTTAATTGTCATTAAAAGCTCAGTTGATGAGATGAACATAGCAGATGTCAGGATAGATGCACATCTGATTTTCATTTGTAAGAGGTGCTTTCATTAACACCACATTAGTCAGTGATGTCTGCTTAAATGTGTTGGTGGTTAGTTGATGCAGAACATCTGGCCACATTGTTTTTGGTTGCTAGGTGACCACCTCGTCTCTTATGTCGGTCAAAAAGAATGACAGTTGTTAATTTTATCTTTTCAGAAAAAAGTGATTACTGAGTTATAAGATAATAAAATTTAAAAGGATTAAAATAAGTCATTAGGTTCAATGGCATTCTAATATTTGACTCAGTATTACTTATTGACCAAGAACTTCTCCTAATGAACTTGGGGCATGTCTTTCTTAACATGTTATAACATCTTCATTTTGTTAATAGCATGAATTGATAATTTAGAATGATATTTCACCTTGATGTCCCAGTAAAAGTAACTTGATTCTCTCTATTAATTTTTGTAACCTTTACCATAGCAAAGAGCTACCATAATGTGCAGGGTTTTTGTTTTTTCTGAAGTAGTCTTCAAACTGAAGACCAAAGAGAAACAAAATTCTCATCTATTCCCTAATGGCCAGGAAAGATTTCATTGAGACCCCAAAATAGCCAGATGTCAATTTTCTCTTTGAAATGCTTACTTTTTCATTATAAAATAAAGTATCAAATATACAGGACATCCAAGGATTAAATTGTACAAAAACCTTTAAACTAGATTGAATGTAGTAAAGAAATGTAATACCTGGACCAAAAGAGAAAATTTTGATTCCAGAAGTAATCAATACAACCTACATACATAATTCAGTCTGTTCTCATTGAAATTAGCTCTTCGTCTTTTAAAACATACTGTAAATACATGAAAACATGTGACTATCTCTGTTTTAAAACAGTTGTTCCATTTATAATTGCTTGTGAGAATAATCCCTAATTAACAAAACTAATTCCTACAACTTAATAACCAAATTAATATTTTTTAGTAGAATACTAGGCTTTTTAAAACAAAACAAAGGGAAACATAAAAAGGTGTTATTTCACTTTAGTGGGTCTTTAATAGGATGGAAGGATGATAAGAATAGCTCTATAGCTTTTCTTGTAAATCTTCAATGAATTGGTAAAACCAGAATCCTCTAGAAAATAATTTCTCCACATTTTGATATTCACTATTTTTTAGGCCTATCTTGTCAGTAAGAAAAGAATAAATGATTTATCAGAGATTCTTTCAACTTTCCAACCAGCCGAATACTACACTATTAGGAAATGACCTTTCCCAGGATAAGTGTGCTAAGTAGAACTACTAGTTGCTACAATTTAAAAAAATAAAAATAAAAATTTAAAAAGATTTTCTATGTGACCAATTAAGGAGTAAGAGGAGACTCATTTTTGATAGCTTGTGAAAGCCCTCTTTCCATTTGCCCTCTTTGCCTGGCTTACCCAGAAACAGAGAGCCAGTTTGCAATGCCCCAAGAATGACTATCTATTGTAATAAAAACTCTAAAAATGTAGCCATTTTCCCAGTGCAAAATAAAAGTGTAGGGCCCTTGTTCAAAAAGCTGGGCAGGGGGCTGAGGGGTGGGGGGAAGTGCCATTAGAGGTACTAAATTATAATGCTTTTTTGCTTTCTTCCACGGTCCCTCTCTTGACTTTTCATGGTATTTTTTATTTGATATTTAATGTTGCCCTAAATACAGTTTTTAAGTTTTTAGTATGCATTTTACTATTAATTTTTACATTGTGCAATGCTAGTTTGCACAATGTAAACTTGTTTAGCCATTCTGCATACAAGTTAAATACAGGAGTATTTAACTTGTATTTAACTTCTGCCTTCCCTTCTGGCCAGGGTCTGAGTCACACACGCAGCTCCCACAAGTACCATTGTTACATGACAGTGCCCTCCCATTCCTCCCATGCGACTGCTGTGACCACCTCAAACATCCCAGTTGCCAAGGTGGTGCCCCAGCAGATCACACACACTTCTCCTCGGATCCAGCCTGACTACCCTGCCGAAAGGAGCAGCCTGATTCCCATCTCCGGACATCGGGCCTCTCCCAATCCTGTGGCCATGGAAACACGAAGTGACAACAGACCGTCTGTTCCCGTTCAGTTCCAATATTTTTTGCCAACTTATCCGCCTTCTGCATACACACTGGCGGCACACACCTACACCCCAATCACCAGTTCTGTGTCCACTATCCGACAATATCCAGTTTCAGCTCAGGCTCCAAACTCTGCCATCACAGCTCAGACTGGTGTGGGGGTAGCGTCTACGGTCCACCTAAACCCCATGCAGTTGATGACGGTAGATGCATCGCATGCTCGACATATTCAAGGGATCCAGCCAGCGCCCATCAGTACCTAGGGCATCCAGCCGGCCCCCATCAGGACCCCAGGGATACAGCCTGCACCACTTGGCACACAGGGAATTCACTCAGCAACCCCAATCAACACACAAGGGCTTCAGCCTGCACCAATGGGTACTCAGCAGCCTCAGCCTGAAGGAAAGACTTCAGTGGTGTTGGCAGATGGAGCCACAATTGTGGCCAACCCCATTAGCAATCCATTCAGTGCTGCTCCAGCAGCAACAACTGTGGTGCAGACCCACAGCCAGAGCGCTAGCAGCAACACTCCTGCCCAGGGCTCATCGCCAAGGCCAAGCATACTCCGGAAGAAACCTGCCACAGATGGAATGGCAGTTCGGAAAACCCTCATTCCTCCCCAGCCTCCTGATGTTACTAGTCCTCGAGTGGAAAGCTCTATGCGGAGTACATCGGGATCACCTAGGCCTGCAGGTGCCAAACCCAAGTCTGAAATCCACGTATCTATGGCCACTCCTGTCACTGTGTCCATGGAGACTGTATCCAATCAAAATAATGATCAGCCTACCATTGCCGTCCCTCCAACTGCCCAGCAGCCCCTACCGACCATTCCAGCTATGATTGCAGCAGCCAGTCCCCCGTCACAACCAGCCGTTGCCCTTTCAACCATTCCTGGAGCAGTCCCCATCACTCCACCCATCACCACCATTGCAACTGCACCACCTCCATCAGCCACTGTGGGTGGCAGTCTCTCTTCTGTCTTGGGCCCTCCTGTACCTGAAATTAAAGTGAAAGAAGAAGTAGAACCAATGGATATCATGAGGCCAGTTTCTGCAGTTCCTCCGCTGGCTACCAACACTGTGTCTCCGTCTCTTGCATTGCTGGCAAACAACCTGTCCATGCTGACAAGTGACCTACCACCTGGTGCCTCCCCAAGGAAAAAGCCTCGAAAGCAACAGCACGTGATCTCAACAGAAGAAGGTGACATGATGGAGACAAACAGCACTGATGACGAGAAGTCCACTGCCAAGAGTCTTCTGGTGAAGGCTGAGAAGCGCAAGTCTCTTCCCAAGGAGTATATTGATGAGGAAGGTGTGAGGTATGTCCCAGTGCGTCCAAGACCCCCCATTACTTTGCTTCGTCACTATCGGAACCCCTGGAAAGCTGCTTACCACCACTTTCAGAGATACAGTGACGTCCGGGTGAAAGAGGAGAAGAAAGCTATGCTGCAGGAAATAGCTAATCAGAAAGGAGTATCCTGTCATGCTCAAGGCTGGAAAGTTCACCTCTGTGCCGCCCAGTTACTACAGCTGACGAATCTTGAACATGATGTCTATGAAAGACTTACCAACCTACAGGAAGGGATTATCCCAAAGAAAAAAGCAGCAACTGATGATGATCTCCACCGAATAAATGAACTGATACAGGGAAATATGCAGAGATGTAAACTTGTGATGGATCAAATCAGTGAAGCCAGAGACTCCATGCTTAAGGTTTTAGATCATAAAGACTGCGTCCTGAAGCTTCTTAACAAGAATGGGACTGTCAAAAAAGTGTCAAAATTGAAGCGAAAGGAAAAAGCCTAGACCCAGAAGAATCGGGAGATTGGAAGCAGAATTTATGAAGAATGATGGTGGGGGTGAGGGGAGGGTTTTGGTTATTTCCAAAGTGGAACATTGAAACAAAGGAAGTGTTCCTTCATTCATATGTGAAAGGAGAGGGACCCATTGCACCCAGTGGCATGAAAGGATCAGAGCTGACTGGACACAGTGAGCCACCTTCTTGCGTTTGGGTCCACCCCTGTTAACTCTGCTCTATGTCCTAAGTGACTTCGGATGCGTCAGTGTCCACCAGTTGGAAGCAGTGACAAGGAGGGCTGGCTGGTGTTTTTCAGCTGTCCGGTTTATAGACTGTATTTATATAGTGGATTCCTGCAGGCCCCATACCGAGCCTGGACTGAAAGCCTCCACTCGGACCATCTGTTATCGCTCTACACTGAAAATGAAACCTCTTCCACCCACCCTATTCAGTTCTTCTGCCTGACCTTCAAATGCCCATGTTGGCCTTTTACAGCAGTGCCACGGCACCAAGCAAGCTGCCACATCTCACACTCTAAAGGGTTTGAACTATTAGTTCTTGTCATTTTTTAAAAGAACCATTCCCGTGTGAAATTGTTATATCGTCTGTCTTGCGTGTGTCAGAATGGGGTTTTTGTGGAGGTTCAGAGCAGGCAACATCATAAGTTGCTCTCAGATCCTTGTTCTGAAGTACAATCTTGATTATCTGTACTTCTGTAGCTGGTGTGATGCTGTTAATTGTATGTACCACACATCTCCAGACGTTAATAAAGGACTCAGAGGTTTTTGTAAAAAAAAAAAAAAAAATACATACAGGAGTATTTAACTTGTATGCAGAATGGCTAAAATTACACAATTCATAATACGTAGTTTGTACATGCATATGCATATGTATTTTGTTCTTACTAGAACAGTGAAAATATTATACAATGTTAACTCAACTGTATGTATTTCATATGTTAATATTAATGCCTGATATTCTATAACAATCGTTAGCTTCATCTTACTGTCACAGGTTCTGGTTTTTATGTGTGTCCTATCGGCTGTCAACATCTCTATTTACTCAGCCATAGAAATAACGTGTTTACTTTATTCTCATTTTGAATCTTGCTGAACTTTCACACATTGTGTGAGCACCAGAATTCCATGCTCATGGAGAATCACTTTGTGTGAAAGGGGCAGCAAAGATTGAGCAACAGAAACATATGTCGCACAGTATCTCCTGGGCTAACACCCATGTTCCATTGTACTATCAGACTTCAGTTACAAAACACAAGTTCAAAGATACATTTTTAAAAGAACTTCAAAATATGCATATTAGAGCATTAAACCAAGACTGGGGCCTTTCTGAGCATGGAACCCTGTGGAACTGTACCTCCAAAATTACAGCCGTAGTCCTAGTAGGGACCCTTGGCTTGTACTTTGGGAAGATTTCACTGCTTGTATGTGCTTTCTCTCTCTCTCCTGGTGGGTGAGGTGATACAGGGAGGATGCTTTCAAAAGCTGTTGATGAATATTTACATAGCACCTTTTTATAGGTGCTGCAAGTATCTGGCAACTACAGAAGCACACTAATTCTAAAAACAAAAATTCTCAGGGTAGTTCTCAGAAAAACAATAAAGGGAAGAGAAATCAAAAGCAATTGATCAATGGTTAAAATGAATCAGTAAAATCAGACTTTGATAAAAACCATACATCTAATCTATTGATCAAGGCCATTTCTAAATGTTATTTTTAATTCAAACTACTGCTATGCTTAGAAAAAGGTAGTATATGAGCACTAATCCTCATAGGAAATACCAATGTTCTATAGATTTTTAAGTGCCAACCCTTAGAGATATCTTATCTGTGCTTTGTTGATAATGTGTATGTTCATACTTGCTTATGTTCTATATACTTTGAATTGTGAGCCTTAATAAAATATCAGATAGTGCTGCTTTAGAATTCAATATTTGTCTCATTCTATTTCAATATGTATTATGAAATTTAGTGCCATGTTAGACTGTAGACATGAGAGACTACACATCTACTTTATTAAAGATGGGCACACTATTGGCAACAGGAGAGCAAGTATAACATTTACAATTTAATTGTCTTCCTAGAAGTAAGGAAAGGTTAGAACATTTAAGCTAGAGAAGTAAGAATATTGTGTCTTTCTCTAACTTTGAAATAAATAAGATTTGCAAGGGCCATACAATGATAGATGTATTAACATGATAAATGACACAGGTTTGAGAGAACCAAATACTATATCCCATGTTTTCTAGAATGTCAGTTACCTCAGTGTAAAGATAATAATGTCTAATTGACAGGACTGTGATAAGGAACAAATGTGATAATATAGACAGTGTATTAGTGGCTGGTACAAAATGAGCAGTCAATAAATGGCAGCTCTATATTAAAGGAACTGAGTAGGTAAACGTGTTAGTAGGGGTGGTAGGAGTAATAGAAGTAGGAGTAGATGTAATGTGATTCTCAAGGATCAACAGTTGAGTCATTTAATGGACTAATAATAAAGAAAGACTGCTTTAGTGTTACTCGTAAATGGATATCTGAAATTGTCTAAATAAAGTCATGAATATTTTAATTTTACTGTAGAGTTTGCCCCCATAAATGTATGTTTGTTACATCGTTTTCTGGCCCATGATATTGACTGGTGGGATGACAGAACATGGGCACTGTCTCAGGAGATAATGTGTGAGTTCTGTGTCTGTTGCCTAAACTTTGTTGCCCTATTCACATAGAGTGATTCACCAGCGGCATGGAATCTGGGATTCGCACAATGTGTGAAAGTTCAGCAAGATTCAAAATGTGTGTAAGGTAAACATGTTATTTCTATGGCTGAGTAAATAGAGATGTTGAAAGCCCAGATAGGACATACTTCCCATATGGACCAGAACTTTCTTTGAACTCAGAAAGAAGACAATGGCTTTCTAAAAAACATGAATGACCAATGAATCTTATCACAGCTTTTCTTATTTATGTTACTTCCATTTAGCAGCCAATTGCTTATGCTGTCAATGGTGATAGAAAACGAAAAGATGGGATAACCCATCACAGCCACCACAAAGAAGTATTTTGGCACACAGAATAGAAATATGCTCTAGCCATGCTGTCTTGGCATATACTTCTCTCGAGAAATTCAGAACAAAAGCGCTTATGCTGAAAGAGCATTGATATTCACTCAATAGGTCAGGGTGTGGAAACCTAGAGTGGATTGACTGTGTGTGTATGTGTGTGTACGTGTGTATGTATATATACACACACATATATATATATGTCATACACACACATACACACACAGTTTGTTCTTCACTCATTCACACAACTATGGTTTGTTTAGCATTGCCTATGTGCAGAATACTGTATGGTGGAGAACATACATATTATAAATATCAACCAGATAGGAATCTTCACTTTGAAGAGCACTTAGAGGTGAAAATAAGACGTCTGTGGGAATAACTACATCATAAGTCAGAAAATATTTACAGCCAACACACACACACACACACACACGCACACACACACATGCACACACACACGCACACACACACAGGTTTCAAAAAGCAGATGAAATGCTTTATGTTCTTTATATGATTATGCTTCAGGAAAACTAGTTTTAGTTAAGTAAAATCCACAAGATAAATGAAATAGGTCATTAAGTTAAAAATAAACATGAAGTTAAAATTTTTTACAAAGCAAAAGTAACCAGTTAAAATATATTGGGAAAACAACAAATTCAGAATGGCCAGAAAAGCCTAACATATTTAGTAATAAGTCTAACAGGCAGGGCAATGTGGACATTTTGAAGATGGAAGGAACGGTATTTCAGATGAAAGAACAGGCTATGTAAAGGCACAGGAACTGAGAAGTGAACAGGTGTCATAGATGAGAAACAGTTTGTATCTTAGAGCAGTGCTTCTCAAATTTTAATCGGTATATCATCACCTGGGGATCTTGGTAAAATGCAGATTCTGATTCTGGGATGGACCTTTAGATTCTAAGTTTTTAACAAGGCTCTCAGGTGATGTCAAAGCTGCCAATTAGTTGATCACAGTTTGAGTAGCACAGATTTAAAGTATATGAAACATAACTAGAGAAAAAATAGATTGGAACTTTATTAAGGAGAAGAATGATACCAGGCTAAGAAGTTTGGGCTTCATTATGTAAATAATAAAGATTTTTGAAAACAATATGTTTTATTAATTCTGAGCTCTAGTAGAGTTAATGAAGAAGAGTATTTAAGATGGGGCTTTTTTGCTGAATTGAACATTTCTGAAAGAAGAATAAACACCTGCATTCTCCCAACAAAATCAGAAGCTCTTTGTACATGGGTGCCCAGAGACTTTCTTCCTTAGCAACTCCCCTTCCTGGTTGGATGTTTTAAAATAATAGTGTATATAACTTTCTCGGGTTTGAATCACTAAGGTCCACCTAGGGGAATGTTTCTAGGAGACCATATGGTTACTCAGTTTTTATTAAGCTGGGTAGAGAGAATTAATATTATAAATTCAATTTTAAAATAAGACTAAGAATCAAACAATACATTAGCATCATAGTAAAGCATGATTTCTCTCTTATAAATGCAGGAATATTTTAATATTTAAGATTCGATTTCTTCCTCACTATTGCCCGTGTTGGTATATCACACTACTGTACATCCATTTGCTTTGCCAGGAACCTGAGAAACATCCTTAATTTCTGCATCCCCCTTATCTCCCATGTGCAGTCATTCATTAAGTCCTGTGGATTCTACAACCCTGGGCCAGACACAGTGGGTCACACCTATAATCTTAGCACTTTGGAAGCCAAGATGGGAGGATCACTTGCGGACAAGGAGTTTGAGATTCTATCTCCCAAATGTATTTCAAATGTAGTGATGGCTCTCTGCCCACTCTGCCCTCATTCTATCCCAGGCAGTCATTAGTACTTGCCTGGACTACTGTAAGAGCTTCCCAATTTCCTCTGTTTTACTGTCTTTCACAACACATTGTTCTCAAAGAGAGTGAGATCATAAAAATATAAATCAATCGAGCCATGCCTCTGATTTAAACTATTCAAAGGCTACCCATTTCCATTTGAATACGATCCAAACTCTTCACTATGGCTTATTAAGCCAATTTGTCCTCTTTGTATCTCTCTTATTTTATAATAAGCCACCCTTCCCCATCCTGCCTCATCCACCAAAAAACCTTAAGCCACACCACCCTTCTTGTACTTTCCTAGATTCCATCTAGTGATTCTTTGCCTTAGGGTTTCCACACATATTTGTCACTCCAATTGGATGATCATTTCAGAAAAGCCTTTCCTCACTACTTTATGTAAGTGAAAGTCTCTCACATCCCCAAAACTTTACAAATGTAAAGTTCCTTCTTGTAGATTTTTTATATACCCTCAATATATTATAAATTATGTAAAGGTAAATCCTCTGTCTTTTTCGATTGCCTATTCTAAATGGCTATAATACCATATCCACTTGTTAAAATATTTGTTAAGTACCTAAGATGTTTTATATTCTAGAGATACTGTTTTAAGTTACAGAGATACAGTGGTGAACAAAACAGAAAGAAATCCTTGACTTCATGAAACTTGTATTCTAGCTGTAGGATACCGACAATAGATAAATTAAAAAAAACTTGGTGAAATGTAAAGTATATCAAATGGTGATACGTTTTATGGTTAAAAAAATAAAGATCCAGAAAGGCAAAATAAAATGCTGGATATGTGTAGGTGTTACAAATTCAAGTGGGAATATGATACTGCAGGTCTTACTCTGTCATGTTACTAGATGAAAGTTGCAAAACTTCTTTCTATATGTATGCAAAAAGGTATAAATTCAACTAGCAATGTGGCTGAAAATACATCTAAAATACTTTTTGAGATTCTATTTGATACAAATAGCCAGAATTATGCATTCCCAAATAGTTCTAATAAAGCCAGAAAGAAGTTACAGATGCCAACCAATTCCATTTAACAATGGTCTATAAGTGCTTAAAGTTAAAAAAAAAAAGGGTAATTTAATAAGGAAACAAGTTAAAAAAGCAAACCTTTTTAAAAACATGGGTACTAGAAAAGAAATATGATTATTTTTAAATAATGTAACTATATTCATGGAAAACCATTATAATCAAGTAAACATATGTTAGAACTAATAAGTAACCACCTAAAACATAAGAATTTAAAAACTAGAAACTTTTGTAAGAAAAATCACATTCATAGCAGCAAGAATAAAACAACATGTTTGAGATTTTATTTTAAAAGAAATGTTGAGGCTAGGTATTTTGGCTCATGCCTATAGTTCCAACTATTTGGGAGGCTGAGGCAGGAAGATCGCTTGAACCCAGGAGTTAGAGGCATCATGAGATACGATTGTGCCATTGCACTCCAACCTAGTGGGACCCTTTCTCTAAAAAAGAGAAAAAAGAAAAAAAGAATAAATGTTCAGAAGATGAAATTACTAAAGATACTTTTCTAAGGTTGAATGATTTGAGAGATATAATCTCTATGTGAAGGAAAATCCAATCATTGAAAATATGTAAACTTTAAAATTCTTCTCTAAATTTAACTAAATCAAAAGTAAAGTAGGGCATACATGGGAAAGTAACAAAATAAATTTGAGATTTGTGTGGAAAAAATAGAAGTATCAGACTATTTGGAAAAATATGTTTTAAATAATGAAAAAAAGAAGTTGAATTTTCCCTACTCAGAATTAAAATATATTAAAATCCTATAAAACTCAAAACAGAGTAGTACAATGCAGAAGTCAACAAAAAATGCAGTGGAACAGAATTGAGTTTAGAAATTGCCCACACAAATGTGGAAACATAGTGCATGATTACGCTGGTATTTTCAATTAATAGAGAAAATTTATACCTTACTTTTAATGGTATTGATTTACATAATAACTATTAAAGAATGAAACATCTCCTGTATACATCAAAATAATTTTATATCAAGCAAGAACTTGTTTTTAAAAATGTGAGAAAAAAATTATACTGGTGTATACTAAGATATAGTATGTTAATATTTATAGAATCCCAGAGCATGGTACCAAAGGTAGAAACCATAGAAAGATTGATAAAATTTGTCTTCAAATAAATTAGAAACTTTTTTTGTACAACAGACAAGTACCCAAAATAAAAAGCAATGTTTATTGTAAGAGTGTTTGCAATATATATGAGAAAGTATTAATATAGCTAACTTTTTAATGGGCAATTAAGGGAATGAAAAAATAAAACTAGGAGGAAATATTCACAAAACACATACTTGGTAAAAAATTGGTACACAAAATATATAACCAGTTATTAAAATCTCATAATAATAAACAAATGAACCTGTTAAAAATGGGTAAGATAGGAGCAGACACTTCAGCAAAAGATATACAGATGGCAAATCATATGAAAAGATGCTCAACATCATATGTCATTAAGACATTACAAGTTGATATACTGATGAGATAGCACCACAAGCCTTTTAGAATGTCTAAAATTTAAAACACAACATCAAATGCTGGTAAGGATGTGGAGCAACAGAAATTTTCATCCAATGTGCTGGGAATAAAAATGGTAAAACTGGTTAGAAAGGCAATTTGGGAGTTTCTAACAAAACTGAACATAGCCTTACCAGATAGTCCAACAACCACTCTCCTTGGCATTAAGCAGAATGAGTTGAAAACTTAAGTCCACACACAAAAAAAGAAACAACAACTGTGCACAAATGTTTATATGAGCTTTATTTATGACAAAAAAATTAAAAGCAACCAAAACGTCCTTCAATAGGTGAATATATGAACAAACTGTGGTATATTCATACAATGGAATCTTATTCAGCTTGAAAAAGAAATAGTTAAGTCACGAAAAGACAGGGAGTCATCTTAAATGTATATTACTAACTAAAAGAAGACAATCTAAAAAGGCTATGTACTATATGATTCCAACTATAGGACATTCTGGAAAAGAGAAAACTCCGGAGACAGTAAAAAGATCAATGGTTGTCAGGGGTTGGAGGGAAGAGGGGATGAATAGGCAGAGCACAGGGGATTTTTAGAGCAGTGGAACTACTCTGTGTGAAACTGTAATGGTGGACAATTGTCATACATTTGTAAAAACCCATAGAACTATCCAATACAAAGGTTGAACCCTAATGTAAACTATGGACTTTAGTAAATGATAAGGTATTGATACTGGTTCATCAATTACAACAAATATGACATACCAAATGTAACTTATGGAAGCTATATTATAGGGAAGCTGGGGGAGGGAGGGGAACAGAAGGAGTAAAAGGGAATTCTGTACTTTTTGCTTAATTTTTTTTTGAAAATGTATACTACTCTAAAAAATAAAGTCTATCAATTGTTTAAAAATAGGACAAAATCACACCCAGAAAATTTAGTTTTAATGGGTAAAGTGAGTCAAAAGATTTATTCCCATTCATAATCAAAGAAATAAACATTCAAGTGAAAGAAGGGCACCATTTTTTTCCCTATAAAAACAGCAAAGATTAACAGGGAGGTGGCCCCTAGGATTGTCTTGGTTTGGAGGCAGTAAGCCCTCTGATACATAGCTTGTACAACTCCCAATAAGAACAGGGCTTCTGTGTGGTAATTTGTCAAGATATATCAAATTACTAAAAAGTAACTTGACCTAATGATCCAAATCTGTGTATTTATATCAAGGAAACAAATTAATAAAGACATATGTACAGTATTACCACAGTTTGTTTAAAAAAAAAAACAAAATTTAAGAATTCAAAAAAGAGAATTGGTTAAATGTATTTTGTGCAGATATATAAAATATATATAGTAGTGGACATTTAAACTGTTAATATGGAAAGGCATTGGTTATATAGTATTTAGGAAGAAAAGTAAGTTAGAGAGCCCTGATACTCTTTTAAATAATATACACACATGTGGAAATGTCTAGAAGACCAGATACTAGTAATGGCTGTGGTAAGACAGTAGATATCTGTAACTTATTATTTTTCCCTTTTATTCATATTTTACTTACATTCTCCATTTACTGTTAATTCATTGCTTATATAAAATTTAAAATATATAAGCCCTTTATAAAAAGAAAGGTGATAATTCCAACTATTTAGAACATTAGCACTTTTTAGCTCTGAAAGGGACCTCAGTGATTGTTTATTATATTATCCCCATTATTTAACAAATCAAGAATTGGATGCTTACATGTATGTTCATTGAAGCACTATTCGCAATAGCAGAACCAGGGAATCAACCAAATGCCCATCATTGATACACTGGATAAGGAAAATGTGGTACATATACACTGTGGAATACTATGCAGCCATGAAAAGGAATGAGATCATATCCTTTTAAGGACATGGATTGAGCTGGAAACCATTACCCTCAGCAAACTAACCCAGGAACAGAAAACCAAACACTACATGTTATAACTTATAAGTGGGAGCTGAACAATGAGAACACATGGACACCGGGAAGGGAACAACACACACTAGGGTCTGTTGTGGTGAGGGATGGCAAGGGGAGGGAAAGCATCAGGAAAAACAGCTAATGCATGCTGGGCTTAATAGTAGGTGATGGGTTGATAGGTGCAGCAACCACCATGGCACTTGTTTACCCATGTAACAAACCTGCACATCCTGTGCATGTACCCCACAACTTAAAATAAAATAGGATGCTTAATATGGTTAAGGGAATTTTCCCGAACTGAATTACATGGAAAGCTGAGACAGCAATGAATGTCTTGTATACTCACTCCACAATTCTCTTTCACTGTACAGTGGCAATCTCCAAATAAACCTTTTAGTGGAAATGCCTAAAATATTATTATGTTTCTGCATGTGTATATTCATGAGAAATAAACATGCAATTTCTTTGCATGGCTTTATCTTTTCTAAATATTTAAGTCTCCTGTATTTCAATTCTTAATTTTCTTCCATTGGAGTGGCAATCCCAAACAATCCTTCTTAGGAATAAATAAAATGACAAAATGTGTGTGAATATCTGTGAAACACAATGATGCAGATCTACTTGTACAATTGTTTTGTTTCTATATATTTGGTGTGACATAATTTTAACCAGAAATTATGTAAAATTATTAGTAAAATTAATATTTTTTAAATTTTTTTCAAATAAAAACAATCAGATCTACTCTCAGCTACTTTGATCTCCAGAATGATCAATATTTAAAATTCTCTATCTACATCCAGTAATTGTTGCCAGGAAAATAGTTATTGTAGAAAATCAGAGACATGTCTCCTAATTCTATGAACATATGTTGAAGTTCCTGGGTGAGTCATTGCTTAGTATAATAGGTAAATGGACTGAGGGAAAGGACTAAGCTAAGAATAATACTAAAATTGGTGATTTTTTTCTTGTACAAATTGGTCAGATTTCTTAATATTTCTACCCCAGATAGTTTTGTAGAAATCACCGTCAACTGACTACTTTTTGAAGAAACATAAAATGTTCTGTAACTTTTGCTTCATTGAAATAGAATCATATGGGTAAATTTAATTATGAGTGTTAAAATAATACTGCTTCTTTTATTAAAATTTCAAACAAAATTATATACATTTTAAAGTCATCATAATGTTTTATTCATTATACTGAAAATCAACAAAGGCAGATTTTCAAATCATCTCTGTTAAAAGATTTCCTTTGTGGACAGCCCATATCTCATTTTCATTTATGCCACTAATTTCCCACAAATAGTCACTTAGAATTTCCCCCAAATACTTAAGTTTAATTTGAATTGTAATAGCTTCCAAATATTAGAATTTGTGTCAGAAAAAATTACCACTTCTTTAAAGCAAATATAGTCTCAGTTCTTAATAATAGTGATAGTGCCCTCAAGAGCATCGTATTTCAAAATATTTAGGTGTTTAATGTGATATAAACTGAATATCTAGATGATTTATCAAGTCACATTTCAATTGACATTTTAGGAATTCTGTATACTATGTTTATATTATATGTGTATATATATAAATATATGTGTGTATAAATATATATAGTGTATAAATATATATTTATATGTATATATTTATTTATATGTATAATATATAAATATATATTTATACAGTATATTTATACACAGTATATATATACATAAAGTGTATATATACACAAAATATATATACATAAATTATACATATATATTTATATGTATAATATATAAATATATATTTATACAGTATATTTATACACAGTATATATATATATACATAAAGTGTGTGTGTGTGTGTGTGTGTATATATATATATATATATACTGTGTATATGTATACTGCATATAAAATATAAATATCCTATATGTGTTATATGTATGTCTATGCACATTTATTACCATTGGCTCATAAGACATAAAATTCACTATCAAAAAAGGTTAGATTACATCAATTTAGATCTGATAGTTTTACAAAAAAGCACCTTTTAAGTTTGTAAAAGTGCATTGTTTTAAGGTACAGGCTGAGGTCTCAGCATTACAGGCCTGTGAACTCAGGCCTGATAGTTTTAATTCTGTCACAGATGAGCTCCAACTGTGTTTCTTAGTTCCTACTGGCTTAGGAGGACATCCATCAGCAGGATTTTCTTTCTCATTTAAGAAGAATTTATAATGTTAGCCTGAATTATCTTTGAAATGCCTGTCCTTGAGTGTGTTTCAACAAGACGTTGTTCTTTGCATGTATTTGCCTATTATATTCATCATGTGTAATATTCATCTTTTTTTAAAGGCAGACTCCTTTTCTGGGAAATGTTGGCTGAATGGAGGTTGATGTATTCATTGATTAATTCATTAATTTAGCAAACATCCTTGAATATCTGCAATGTAATAGACATGTCACTGGCTACAAAAAAATGACCAAATTGGTAATCACCTGCCACAGACTCCAAATCAAAAGTTGGAGTTTGTGCCAGTATAGATGGAGTAATATTGGCAACTGTTGTTGATGCTTGTCAAGTTTGAGTGATAGTGCATGGCAGCTTATTAAACTAGTCTCTCTTCTAAAAAAATATGTTTGAAATGTTCCATAATACAGATTTTTTTGTTATTGTTGTTATGGGTCCTTTATAAGGGTTTATTCTATGACTCAATTGGAGATACGTATTACATTTTCCTAGAAAGATACCAATGGACTTTGGATTGTTTTTCCTTCAGATTCTTTTCTTTCTGAAATTGTCATACTCATTATTCACAATTTAATCCTTTCTCCCCAGCATCAATTTCTAAAATCCTCAACTCCGAAAAGGAAAAAGATAATAGTATCCACTCAGATTACTCATCTCCAGATCTGGGGTTCAAAGTGGCCTTAGGAACCCAGCTGTGTCGAGCTCTTCTATGGAATCACCTCATTCTTTCCTTATTCTCCAGGCTATTAAATTTTGTCACTTGGTCATGGCCCTTTCCACAATTAATAACTGGTGCCATTAATTGTGTTACCATATTTTCCTCTTTATAGGGTGAGGAAAGGAGGTTATGAATTGCACCTTTATTTCTGTCACATCAAGCTTCATTTTAAATTTTTTCTAAGATTCAAAAGAAAAGTTATCTGAAAATTAAGCAGCAATGAGAATATATTAGAACTTAGATAGAACCAGAATTGCAGTTAATGCTCATTGTAATTGTATTTAAGTTTGCAAATATTAGTTACCTACTGTTTTTATAACTGCTTTACAAGGAACTTTTCTAATAGCTTAGAAAGAGGTCAGCTTTCTCTCTGCTTCTTTCCTATGCATATTTCACGTTAGAAATGTCTACATTTACGTTTTTGATTCTGCTATCACCCTTTAATAATAGTCTACTGTTACAGAGTGAATGTAGTAAAAAAATTGAATCCAATATTTTAGTCTGTATTTTAATTTTAATATTATATATTTTAGTATTTTATTTTTATTTTTAATTTCAATAGGTTTTGGGGGAACAGGTGGTGTTTTGTTACATGAATAAGTTCTTTGGTGGTGATTTCTGAGATTCTGCTGCATCTGTCACCCAAGCAGTGACTACACATTTGACATAGTATTATTTTTATTTTTAATTGACAAATAATCATAAATATTTTGGGGGTACAATGTGATGTTTTAATATATGGGTACCTTGTGGAATAATCTAATTAACATACTCATTACTTCACATTTTTATCATATTTTTGTAGTGAAAACCTTAAGAACCTATTCTTTCAGCAGTTTTGAAATACACAATACATTAATATTGACAGTGGTTACCTTGCTGTGCAATAGATCTTGAAATTTTTTCCTCCTTTCTAACTGGAACTCTGTAC